TCCATGAAATGGTTTTTCAGAAATGAAAAATAGCATTAAAAAATATATTGAAAATAAGAAATTTATTAAGGTCTTGGTTTTTTTTATCAGGACAGACTTGTAACCAGTTTATATAATAAAAAATCTAGAGATAATAAAATTTACTGTTTAGGATGTTGAAGCAATATTACATTGATCTTGATTTTCAGTACTACTACACTTTGATATTGATCAATAAGACTTTGCTCTTGTCTTTTTTTGCTTCGACAAAGTTCCTGTCACGGTCTGGCTTTCTCTTTATGCTGATATGTTATTAAAATTTTAAAATATATACCTATTAAATAGTTTGAATTTTAACTTATATACACTTAAAAGTTATACATTATTTATTTTTGTAAATTATCATTTTTAGTCCCTATAAAAGAAAATCCAAGGAGTTGTATGTTATAATAATGATCAGTTATGTCTAAATTTGAGACAAAAATTTACTGTACCTTCCTGGCAGCTAAAATTTAAAAATGTAAGAATACCAATTTAATAGTTTGAATTTTAACTTATATACACTTAAAAGTTATGCATAACTTATTTTTGTATATTATTTTATAAGAAATCTAAGGAACTGTTATATGTAAAAATTTTAAAAATTTACTGTTAAGGATCTTGAAACAATATACATTGCTCTTGATTTTCAGTACTACAATTTGATTGTTGATTTTCAGTATCTTTTTGTTGAATGGCAGGAATCTACAAATATAATATAATGTATCAGTTATGTCTATATTTGAAAAAAAAATTTAATGTTAAGGATCTTGAAACAATAATACATTGCTCTTGATTTTCAGTACTACAATTTGATTGTTGATTTTCAGTATCTCTTTGTTGAATGTTATCTTGTGCAGGAATCTAAAAATATAATAAAATAGTAATTAAATCAAAAAATTTACCATTGCCTATAACCTTTTCGTGTACCTTCTAAAAAATGAAAATTTTGTTTCGTGTACCTTCTAAAAAATGAAAATTAAAGGAGCGGTTAAAACCTATATATAAATTATAATAATATATATAAAATTGTAAATTATGTATATTTGTGTAAGAATATCTATTATCAATTATTTTCAGTTCAGTTTGATTTATCGGTTAGTTGGTATTAGAAAATGAATGAATGTTTAATATGTTTCTGTGGTGATTTTTAAAAAGAATGTAAAAAATTATATCAGAATACTTATTTAATAGTTTGAATTTTAAAGTAGCTACAAACTTTGAATCGTATCTTCTATTTGATTAATTTTGTCAGATTAAGATAAGAAAAAAAACATTTGCCGGGATTCGAACCTAAGTCCAATAATCCATTAGATTTGTAAGGGAAGTTCTTGCCGATTGGGCCACAGGCACTTTTCAAAATTAAAGATTTTTTAAATGACAGTGAGAGCATAACGCTATTTTTGTGACAAGGCTTATATATATATTATAGATACATGCATGAATGACGTTTAATTTTTATTTTTTGTTTATATTTAATTACAATTTTTTTATTTTTTTTCCGGTCATGGGTTACTTTATTATTTTAATATTTACTGATATTTTTATTTTACCCGAAAACATTTTGATCACAGAAAGTCCCCAAATTTAAAAAAATATTTAGATGGTAAGAAAATGAGATTAAAAGCTTTAATAATTTAGAATGTATAAGATAAGTATAAGATTTTATTTAAGATTAGAAAATGAGATTTTTTTTTACTTTACATTCATCCGAGCTCCAGGTGTAATTCTTAGGTGGGTCTGGACCCCGGGTCGGCCTGAGCACATAAAAGGGTCGTAAATTTTACGACCAAGCTAATTAACAACACTAGTAACTACTGACTGTAGATACTTATTTAGTGGATCTATGTTATTTCATAAATTATAATGATCATGAGGAAATACCTCTGAGTTAAAGTTTTATTAGAAGAGGAAAATACTTCACCAATAGCCCCACAATTCTCATAATTAATAAGAGATGTTTTCTAAATGACCCGTACATCTCTGGTCTAAAAGTCTCTTAAAAGTATGGTCTGCATATTCAAAGGATACGTTAAAATGTCTAAAAAAATAATACAATGCATTAGATAAATTAAAAAATATCAATTTTTTTGAAGCAGGTGCACTACTCCATTTGGGCCAGACATGACGTTCGCACTATCATATGGCTGGCTTATAACATTTGATGAATTAATATTTAATTCATTAGGCTTGCTTTAAAACACAATTAATAATACTTTCAAGTAGAAATACATTGTAAATTAATGATTCCTATTAAATTTTCTTAAATTTCTCCACAAAAAAAATATAACGAATAATTGTATAATACTCAGGAGACGATGTTTTTTTACGTGAAATTAGTAATTTATAAATATGGTTTATTTTAAAAAAATTTTTTTACACTTTAAATGTGGCATTCTAAAAAAGAATTGTTCAATATTTGTATAATATAAATTAAGGATGACAAAAATAAAAATAAGAATACTTTATTTAGTTCTAACATCTAATAAAAAATATCCCTTCTTTCATTGTAAAAAGGAAGAAGATAAATTCTTATAATGATTTTGAAGTTAAATATTTATGTATGAAATATTTTTATTTTAAATTTAATTGCAAATTTTTTAAGAAGATATAAAATAAAAATAATTAATTATTTATTCAAATTTTATTGAATATAGAAAATTAAATATATATATCAAACAATTTTATAATAATAAATAGAATATGAAAATAAAGTAACAATAAAATTTCCGCAAGATGGCGCATTATTTTTTTTAAAAAAATTTGATTTTAAAATTTTTTATATAACAAAAATAGCGGTTATATTACAACAGAATATGAATATATATGACAAGAATTTAAAATTCTTGTAAAAGTTTTTTTTTGTTCAGCAAGGATGTATCTTTTCACAACTATTACATTTAAATATATATTTTTTGTTTTTACTAATAATGATTCTGAAATTTTCTTAAACCTTTAACAATCTTTATATAATGAAAATTAAGTTAAATCTATTTTAATATATATAATATAATAAGTAAAAATATAATTCTATAATTTTAAATAATATTACAGACTATTATCTTACTTTTTTTTCTATTATTTTTATTCCTCTATTATATAGAATAGGATATGGCTTTTAATCAAAATGATTATCTTTTAAAAAATTATTTAGGTTTCCTATCAACAATAAAACCCTTAAGTGGGTCCATGCAGTTAAAAGAGAATTTTTTAAGCCAAACAAATACTTATGTCTCTGCATTGCACATTTTTCAAATGAAATATAATTTTAATTAATATATTATTTTTTAACATACATATTTTTTTTTTACTATTTTTTAGTTTACATATATAATGTTACGACTATTTTTTTCTATTATTTTTATACCTGATCAATTTATTATTGTATAGAATAGGATGTGCATTGTTTATTATTTTTTAATTATTTAGGTTTCCAATTAACAATAAATTCTTTTAATTTTGGACCATGCACTTAAAATAAAATTATTTAAACAGCATATGCTAGATCAGGAATTAGGATCCCTTAGTTATCCTCAAATATTTCTAATAGTTCCCAGATATAAAAACATTTTATTTCATCATTTTGTTAGAAAAGAAGGTTTAAATTTAAAAATAAATATTAGAAATAAATTAATTAAAATGATAATATTTCTAGGCCAATATTTTACTATATAAAACATATTTTCCTGTTTTCTTATAAACTTTTACGTTTCATGATTTATATTGGGTTATTTTTAATTTTTTTTGCTATTTATAATTTATCATTTCTTCCAAAAAAAAGAACTTTTACATGAATTTTAAATTTATGTCATTTTATATTATATAATATATATTCAAATTATGCTGAAAAATTTAACCGCCATTTTTGTTAAATAAAAAATATACAAATTAAATATTTAAAAATGCTCCATCCTGCGGAAATATTTTTGCTACTTTATTTTCCTATTATAAATTATTATAAAAATTGTTTCCCTTTTTACATATGACTACTAATCAGTCACATAGTAAATTTTCGACCTATTTTACCGCGTAAATTATTTTGGCGCGAAAATTTAAATTGTATCTTATAAGTAACATTCCTTTTATATAAAAATCAATTTTTTAAATAGAAATTCTTATATTTATTTAAAGTACGAGTATTTAATGTCAGCTGTTCCCTATATTTCAAAATTGACATTTTTTATAATTTTTAATTACATTTTTTCAATATTAAACTTTGATATTATTTTTCAAAAAAATATGAACCAGATACCTAAAATATTCCTATATTCTTTTCCGTTTTTATATTTAAAAAAAAATTAATTAAAAATTTTTTAATCGATAATATATGTGGGTTACACATTAGACAAAATGATTTCTCCATCTGATTATTCTTCTGATGATAGCTTTTTAGAAGATGACCACTATAATGAGGATGATAATTAAATATTTTCAGATAATTTTACTATTATAAATACGAAGAGATATATTATGGAAGGAAAAAAATTTAAATATCCCCAAAAATTATCTAAAATTCAATGGAAAGTCCACTTTATCCAGCGAGATACTGGCTTTACATACTCCCTAACAATGTTCATCATATTTTTTGAATGATAATTTCCTAGATTTAGTAGTTCTCGAATCAACCAAATATGCAGCAATAAAAAATATTAACAAACCTATAAATATTTCTATAATGGAGTTAAGGAAATTCATTGAGATTAATATTCTAATGTCGATTGGTCCATAAAAGACTATTGGAAAAATGTAATTGGCAATGATCTTATAAAAAAGACTATGACTATCACTAAATTTGAAAGCATTCTATCCATTCTTCATTTTAATGACAATAATAATTCTATAGCAAAAGGTCAACCAGGCCATAATAGGCTTATAAAAGTAGTCTCAATTGTGAAACATTTTCAACAATTCCTAAAGAGGAATGCTTATCAATCGATGAGCAAATTTGCTCAACCAAAGCTCGTATACATTTAAAACAATATATGCCAATGAAACCTCACAAATGGGGATTTAAATTCTTCATTCTATGCGGTGTATCAGGATTTGCCTATGATTTTGAACTATATTCTGGGCAGGAAAATGATTCTGAAAAAAGACCAACAACAGAACCAGATTTAGGAGCGTCCAGCAATATTGTTTACGTCTAAGCCGAACAATACCTATAAATCAAAATTTTAAGCTATATTTTGATAATTACTACACCTCAATAAACCTTTTGATATATTTGGAAAAAAGAGGCATAATAAATCTATTATATATTTAATTTTTCAACTATATTTATAGGTATATATAGTCTTGGTACTGTAAGGAGGAATAGGATCCCAAATTGTAAGCTTCCTACAGAGATCGAAATGAAAAAAGAGATCAGAGGGCCATCCTTTGAATACATGGAAAATATTGAAGGGGTAGATATAACATCCTTAGTATGGAAGGATAATAAAACGGTAACCTTTTTTCAACATTGTACGGGAAATTACCCTAGAGTCATATTGAACGATATGACCGCAAAACCATAGCTTGTCCCATGCTTGTCAAACAATATAACAAACATATGGGAGGGGTTGATTTGTTAGACAGTAATATTGGAAGATACCATAATACAACCAGATCCAAAAAGTGGTATATAAGAGTTATCCAACACCTTATTGATATGGCAGTCGTAAATTCCTGGTTATTATATCGGCGTATTCAAAGTGAGAAAGCCAAATCAGATGACAATTCTGTTTTTTATCTATCGAAATTTCGCCAAGAAGTAGCCACAACAATGTGTCAAGTTAAGCTAAAATAGAATTGAAACGCGGACGTCCTTCTTCTATGGTCGAAAATCTAATAGAAGGTGATAATTTATTTATTATTATATTATATTTTTATTTAGATAAAAAAAGAAGGGGCCTACGTCTTTCGTACCGTCTACAGATATTCGCACGGATCAAATTGGACATTTCCCAGAGTAGGCGAATAATCGTCAAAGGTGCAAAAACCCACTATGTAAAGGTTTTTATTTCATACCAATATATAAAATACAATAAATTGCTTGTTAAATACAATTTGAGACTTATATGTAACATACATTATTATGGTCAAAATAAAAAAAATAGAAAAATAAAAATTTTTTTTTTGATCAATTATCGATTAATATGTCAAAGGGAATACCTGAGATTTTTTTCTAACTTATTGCAAACATCATGTGGTAAAGGGTTTTATATAATTAATTATCGGTATTCATTAAAATATATATTTTTAAACAATAATTATTTATTTTTATATTATATCTTTTGGAAAAATGTTATTATTATAATTATGGCTATTATTATACAAACAATATTTTCTAAAATATTATTGATTGGTAAAATTTGGAAAGAAATTCTTATGAATTGATATTTTGAATTATCTCTGAACTTAACAAATTTATATTAAATTTTTTTTAAAAAAACATGATAATTAATATCCAGATTAGACAAAAATTGGGAAAAAATATTTTTAATTATTTTTAATTTTTTATAAACGCAATATCTGTACATTAAAGATGCCAAATTTGATAGATTTAATGCTTATAATATATGTAAATTGGCTTATATTAACAAAAAATTATATTTAATCTTACAATATCGAAATATGGGATAAGTGCGTAAAATATAAAAAATTTCAACGCTTCACAATTATCCGGTTTTGAGTATATTAGGGAAGGAATCTTTTTAATACGAGTCTTTTTATTTTCCAATTCTTTTCTTTATAACGGAATATATTTTTTCAAAATCAAAAATTTATATCATGCGAAAAAAATAATATAATAATAATTTATTTTTTAGGTGTCAAATCATTTTATTTATTTTAAAATAGGATATATATACTAAATGATTAAAAAATTCTATATTAAAAAAACAAATAAGAATATATTAAAAAATGAATTAAAAAATATATATGTATAAATAAGAACTCAGAAAAAAAAATATTAAAAAAAAAGGATACAAATCACCCTAGAGAAGGGTGAATGCTTAAAAAATTGGACCTGCAGATTTACAGGGAATCTGATGACGAAGGTAAAATCTTTCATTGGGGTCCCCTGAGATCTGTCTCATTTTTTTCCCTATAATTTTAATGAAATTGAGGCATCACTTCCAAACATGCCTAGAGTATTGGTAACGATTGGAATGAACACGATGTTGGTGAGGCCGGCATATTTGTGTTTTACGATTTCAGCCTTTTCAATGTCAGAAAATGAGCTGTTAGACTTTGCTGCAAAATCGACACAGGTATAGTCCTAAACGAGCGGGAGACCATTAGTCTAGGGAATGAAGGATAACCCATCGGGACGAAGGCGTTTTCGTTTGAGAGGCCCACTGGTTTGAGGGTGAATGGAATATTAACTTTTTTGAGGGCAACTAGGAGAATCTGATAGCTTTATGTTGCGGTCCATGGGAGAACTTGCAGTGCAAGGGATTGTTTTCGATTTAATGGGATGACAGTCAATACAAATGGAGGGAACTACGGCATTACAATCAAGACGAAGGGCAATGAAAATGCGTAGCTGTTCACCAGTTAAGAGAAAACCAAGATTGGAACTGGGGATAGCTTCCAACCATTAGTAACCTGATTTTGCATATAATACTAAATTATTGAGGTTGTCCTCATCCCATTCTTTTTGAATGCTGGAGGCAGGACGACAAAAAGTGGATAGGCAATTGCTGTCCCAAAAAGTGAAGGCATGAGAAAGGTCAGTATCAAAGGAGGGGATTCATTATCGATAATAGATTGAGCAGCCAGATGAGAAGAGATAAAAAGCTGAGAGGGGTAGTTGATAGGGGATCGGATACCAATACCATCAAACTTGCTGGGAAGAATGGCCTGAATCCAGGATGAATTGGAAAATTTTAAGTTTACTATATTTTCAAGAAGGCCCTTGATTTGGGTTTCATGGGAAACGAGCAAGTCGCTACATTTGAAGATCAGTGAGGATTTTAGGTTATTTAAATAATAATACCTTGAAACAATGTAAATAAAACTAAATTAACCAAAAAAAACTTAAAAATAATCATAATAAACAATATTATAAATATGATGTTATAACAGTTCAGTTATATCTTGCAATTTATATTTATATGCGATTTAAATAAAAAATAAAAAAAAATCATAAATACATGAAATATTTAACGTTAAACTCATTATAAACATAGACTTATTAATAAAGATTGCTATTTTGCAATGGCGATTATTTTAAAAACACTTTTTTAATAGTTGAGCAGTTTAGGTTAATATAAGTCTATGGATTTTTCATTAAATCTTTCATTTAAACTTCCTTATTATCAAATCAAGTGCAGCATAAAATATATAGGTTGTAAAGCTAAAATAAAATATTATATCTATATAATAATGAAAGTATAGGAATAAATAGGAATTTTATGGGTGTTGTTGATATGACCGATTAATACTAACTTTAAATTGTTTTTTTTTTATATTGATATAAATTGATTTTTTTATAAATTGTGTAGATTGATTTTTTTTAGATAAATTTTTATATATTAATATGAAAATTGTTATATAAACCTGATTTTTTAGTTTGATAGAAAGGTAAAATTTTAAAATATATTATATAAAATTAAATTATTTATTTCAAAATAAAATAAATTAATCTCGTAACAATCATTTATTTTAGAAAACTTTATGGTGGCAGTTTCGCTACATATTCGAGGAAATCGTAAATAAATATTAAACAGATTCCCAATAATAATGTTAATATAAATATTGAATTTCCAATATACTCAGGCAATGGCGATCTTTTTTTGAGTAGATTCGAAACATTTTCAAGGACACTCAGATCTCGGACATCGAAAAAGCAGGTTCCTTTACAAGAAGACTACCAGATGAGGTATATATCAAATTAGACGAACTAAATAAAATTGGACTATAATGACTTACAAAATATTCTGAAATCCACATATGATTTTAGCTACTGGAACATAGACAACTAGATAAAAAAAGTTCTGGAATGTAATATTTTTATCTTTATCATTCTAAAAACCGTAAGAAATGATTTATTTGAAAAAGTGAAGAATAATTAAAAAATTTTAATGATAAATCTCTAAATTATGAATAAACCTATATGGGACAATAATAATAAAACAAAGTCCATTGACAAGTTAGAAGATTATTTAAAATTTCATGATAGTAAGAATACTCTAAGCTTAATAGATAATTTATCAGATGAATTATATTTAGTCATGAAAGCAGTGTTTCCAAGAGAGTTAAATTCAAGTTATGATGAAACATTATATACATTAAAGTGTTTATGTAATTATAAATCGGCTACAGAAATAAAAGAAAATTGTTCTAATAAAAATTTTAGTAAATCTAATAATGAGAATTATTATAAAAATAGAAAATTAGATAAAGAAACACATTATCATAGAAGAAATTATCATTATAATTGTAAATCTTTTAGTATCAAAAAATTAAAACCCAATATGCAAAAGGAATGAGATACTTATAAATTAAAAGAAATAAATTATGTAATAAAATTTGAAACATTTGTGATTAAAGAAAATAAGGAAATAAACTTTAAAGAAAATAAGGAAATAATCATTAAAGAAAATAATGAAATAAAAACTTGTATAATTGATAAAAAATTAAATAAAATTGTGAAATGTAAAACAATTAAAAAAGTTTTTAAGAATATGATATGGAAAGTTGTACATTTGCTCAAAATAAAAAGATCTTCAAAGATCTAGTAAAATTTGAAGATCTTTTATTTATAAAAAAATTTGAGCAACGATCTTCAAAGATCTTCATGATATTTATTTTTTTACCCCTTTATCCAGATGTTTTTCAATTTTATTAATATAATATTTCTTTTATGTTTTATACCTCTCCTCCTGACTTGATGAAAGAAAAAAATAAATTTTTTTTAAAAAAAAATATTGACACAGCATGTTTCTAAAATTTTTGATGGCTTTATTATTAGATTGCAAAATATTAAAAAAAGAGTGCCTACAAGAATATTTTTTTTGATTGATATAAGAGTTTTTAATATTATCATTGAAAAGTGAAATAATTTTTATTTATTTGAATTGTAAAAAAAATATTTAAAAATTTCTTGAAAAGCTTCCTTTTCTTCCGAAATTTTTTAAAAAAAATATAAATATATGAATAATTATAAAAAATTAATTTTTGCTGGCTTGCTTGTAAATTTTTTTTAATCGGGTTCGAGCCGGGAAACATTTTTTAAAAATTTTGGGTTGGGCTTGAAAAATTAGGCCCTTTGCAGATCACAATAATACATTATTATAATATATTTTCCTCTCGCTAATTAATAAGTAATTACTATGTTTAAGATAACACATTTGCATTTTATACATCCAGTAATAAATTTTTATTTCATTTTTTTTAATATTTTAAATCAAAATATAAATCTTTTTTTTTTGTGAGTTTTATAAATAATTTCCGTTATTGAAAAAAAGGAATCAAAAAAACAGACCGGTCTATGGGTTTAGGAAACTTTCTTAGAAAGTGTGTCAGCATACCCTGGCTTAATAAATTAGTATCGCTATGCCAATTCCCCTTACTACTAGTTCAGAATGAGGTGCTAACTTTCTTTTAATTTCATCGCTATTTTTTAATATTGATTTTTAAAATAATTTTAGAAATGTATCTATAGGACATATATATTTGATAACATTAGTTCCTAAATTTGATTGAGATAATTAGAATACTTTTGGATATTCGTATTATTTAAGGGGGGGGGGTGTGTGCCTATTTTAAAGTCAAAATATAGTATAATTTATAATATCAATTTATACTTTTTATCTTTTATTAATTAATAAAGTTTAATAATTATTATTAAGGATAATTTATCTTAATGAGGGTCTGAACCCCAATGATGACTTGGAAAATTTAATAAATGATCTAAGAAAATCATTTGGGCTGATTTGTGTGCGTTGTTGTGCCCATACAATTCAATTAGGGGTT